GAGGAACATTTTTCAGTTTATCTTTAGGAAGAATTTTCTTTTTTTTTTTTTTTTTTGAGATGGAGTTTCGCTCTTGTTACCCAGGCTGGAGTGCAATGGCGCGATCTCGGCTCACCGCAACCTCCACCTCCTGGGTTCAGGCAATTCTCCTGCCTCAGCCGCCTGAGTAGCTGGGATTACAGGCACGCACCACCATGCCCAGCTAATTTTTTGTATTTTAGTAGAGACAGGGTTTCACCATGTTGACCAGGATGGTCTCGATCTCTTGACCTCGTGATCCACCCGCCTCGGCCTCCCAAAGTGCTGGGATTACAGGCTTGAGCCACCGCGCCCGGCTGGAAAAATGTTTTAATAATTAGAACCCTTAGAAGGAAACGGATACCCTCACTGGAATTACTGAAGAGTGGATTCCGGGAGATTAGCCTAGATGACCTCTAAGTCTCTTTCCAACTGGGTGACACCGAGTTATGTGTCAAAACAAAACATATTTGAGGGATGTAGAAGAAGGTAACTGAATTTTATAATGAAAGAAATATCACCAGCTGTGGTTGTTTGAGGTCTGTACTGAATAGAGTCCAAAGAAACTGTTAGATCTGTATTAATAAGTCTGAGGTTCTCTTATCAAGGAGGCAGGATCTGAATAGAATCCTGAAGGGGCCCGTAGAATCCTATAAGGGGAGTCACCCAAGACTTATACTAGGGAGAATTATTGCCAAAGTCATAGCTCCCAAAGTGCTGGGATTACAGGCTTGAGCCACCACGCCCGGCTCTGTGTCTTACATAATGCTGTTCATACAGATGAAAAGGTAGAGATGAGAGACACTGTAAAAACTGTAAAAAAAAAAAAAAAAAAAAAAAAAAAATGGCAGTAGCCTAGAAATGCAGACCAGCGAAGTCAGGAATTAGTGAGGCATTACTCACAAGCTCCTTCCTTCTGTAAAGAGTGGTATTGCTCCTGTAATATGGATGACGAGGATGAGGAGTATCTGTGTCTTCAGTGTGCCTTGTTGCTGTTGGTGATGTGTCTGATCTTTTATGTCAGCTCCTGGCCTTTGCTCACCTAAGGTTGTCCCTGTGCTATGTGCACCATCCCTGCTACTTTCTTTCCCTGATTTTTCTGCTCCTGCCTGGAGCTCTCGGCTACCCTCAATTCAGTATGAGACAGAACAATTTGGGATTTTTTAAGATGTTGATTTGTGACAGTAACTGCGGCAAATGGTAATGAACCTCAGGTAATTCTCAGGCAAGTCACTTTGGCTTGGTTATATTGAGGTGAAATAGTTTCCTGTACCTAATTAACTAAGTCTCTCTAGTCTATTTCCCCACTCCCCCTATTCTGAAAGTTCTTTTTTCACTTTGAAAATGAAATAGTAGCTGGGCGCGGTGGCTCAAACCTGTAATCCCAGCACTTTGGGAGGCCGAGGCGGGTGGATCACGAGGTTGAGAGATGGAGACCATCTTGGTCAACAAGGTGAAACCCCGTCTCTACTAAAAATACAAAAAATTAGCTGGGCATGGTGGCGTGTGCCTGTAATCCCAGCTACTCAGGAGGCTGAGACAGGAGAATTGCCTGAACCCAGGAGGCGGAGGTTGCGGTGAGCCGAGATCGCGCCATTGCACTCCAGCCTGGGTAACAAGAGTGAAACTCCGTCTCAAAAAAAAAAAAAAAAAAAAAGAAAATGAAATAGTAGAAAACATTACAAGATAATGTAAGTAAACGGAGTCTCCACTTACATGATATTTGCTTAAGTCTATATAGGCTCATAAGAATCAATGGTAGAGGAAATCTTCATATGTAAAAACAAAGGTATTATATATCAGTTCACGTACACTTAGCTGGTGTTAACCAGGCAGGTATGACGAATAAAGGGATTATATGATTCCACATATTTTTATTGGTTGGCTGGCATTTTTGTTTTTAGTTACATGAAGGGTAGCAGGTAGAGGGGGTTCACCTAAATACTTTATAATTTATTCCATGATCTAAGTGTATATATATATATATATATATATACATATAATTTGAAACAGGCTTGTAAGACCTAAAAACATTGTTTTTTGTATTAATAGTATATACATATATGACACCAGTTATATGCCAAATACGGTTTTAAGTATATATATATATATTTTACTAATTTAATTTTCACAACATTCCTATAAGGTAGATACTATTTGTTATCATCTTCAGTTTACAGATGATGTACTGAGACACAAAAAGGTTATGTACTTTGCCCAGATCAAATAGTTTATAAGTATCAGGACCAAGTTATGAACCCAAGCAGTCTGGCTTCAGAGTCCCTGAACTCTACTACAGGCTGAGAAGCCCTTATCAGAAATGTTCAGACCACAAGTGTTTCAGATTTGGGAATATTTACATAGACATAATGAGATATCTTGGGGACAGGACCCAAGTCTAAACACAAAATTCATTTATGTTTCTTTTTTTTCTCTCTCCTTTTTGTTTTTACTTTTTCTTTCTTTCTTTCTTTTTTTTTAAAGATGGGGTTTCACCACGATGGCCAGGCTGGTCTTGAACTCCTGACCTCAGGTGATCCACCCACCTCGGCCTCCCAAAGTGCTAGGATTACAGTTGTGAGCCACTGTACCCGGCTCTTTTTTTTCTCCTTTAATTCATAACTTGAGGTGGTAGATGTGGCATTTTTTAAATTTATGTTTCATATACACCTTTACACTCATAGCTTGAATGTAATTTAATACAATAATTTAAAAATTTTGCATATGAAACAAAGTTTATGTTAAGTACTTACATGTGAAATGTTCTACCTCTGGCATCATGTTGGTGCTCAAAAAATTTCGAATTTTGCATCATTTTTGATTTTCTGATTTGAGATGCTCAAATATTCATATATTCATCTATTTTTACACAGCATGCCAAAGAAACCAAACCATTATTCCCAAATTAAAATTTTCTCCCATAATAAAAATCAAACAATAAATTCTGGCTCTGTGACATTTTTATCCCTTGTGAATGAATTTTTTTCAGTAGTTGCAAACACTGGGAATTAGAAGAAAAAAAAAGGTATTTTAAACACAGGGAAACTTTAATCAAAATGGAAAACTCATATTTTATCCAGTGTTTACACATAGTGTTTCCGTTCCCATTTTGGAGGTAATTTCAGTTATTTCTGGCCACACCCTGTATGGCAATGGAATAATTTCATAGTGCTTTTATAATAGAGGATATCTGCGTCAGTGGGTGGTTCATCTAAGGTCAAGTTGGTTCAGGAAAGATATGCAAAGGAGAGCTACAACCACCTCTTCTCCCAACCCTACCTCTCCAGTGGTTGGTTGCTTTGTTCCTTCTTTGCAGTGTCTCCCGTCCTAATTTAAGCAAAATTTCAGTATGGTACCTCCATTAGCCAATACTTTTTATAAAGCAAATTGGGAAGCCAAAAGAATAACAGGAGAGGCCGAGCGTGGTGGCTCACGCCTGTAATCCCAGCACTTTGGGAGGCCGAGGCGGGCTGATCACCTGGGGTCGGAGGTTCAAGACCAGCCTGGCCAACAGGGAGAAACTCCGTCTCAAAAAAAGAAAAAGAAAAAAAAAGAAAAAAAGAATAACAGGAGAATAATGAAGCTTTCTGAGAATTAAAAATAAATTGAATTAACATTAAGATGCAAGAAAGTGGCAGGACACCGTGGCTTACCCCTGTAATCCCAGCACTTTGGGAAGCTGAGGCTCGCAGATCAGGACATCGAGACCATCCTGGCTAACACGGTGAAATCCCGTCTCTACTAAAAACCACAAAATTACCCAGGCGTGATGGTGCACGCCTGTAATCCCAGCTACTCAGGAGGCTGAGGCAGGAGAATGGCTTGAACCCGGGAGGTGGAGGTTGCAGTGTGCTGAGATGGCGCTACTGCGCTCCAGCCTGGCGACAGAGCGAGACTCTGTCCGAAAAAAAAAAAAAAAGAGCGAGAGAGAGAGCGAGAGCGAGAGCCAGAGAGATGCAAGAAAGCACAGTGGGAGAGGGGGATGGCGAGTCAATTGTATACAGTAGCATATATGTATGCATAAAACACTTCTGCCTCATTCACTCTCTTTAGACAGCATAAGGTAAAATAAATAAGTTCTGACTCATAGGCAGGGTCAAAAATATACATTTTTTCTCCTTTGTCATCAAAAGAAGACTTGACCACGTGCACAGTGTATAAAGCATGCCAGTGGGATGATTAAATTTACTGTCAGGCATTGTAAGGGAAACAAACACATGTGGTGAGATGGTAAAGGAGTTCAAGAGGAATTCATGGTAATATAATATGAGGAATGGGGCTACAATTACTTCCTCAATGTGACTGTAGAAGATACTCAATCAGGCGAGTGCGATTTAACATCATGAAATAATTTCCAAAAATTAAAATCAAATAAGGTAGCATTTTAATCTCTTCTAGTGAATTTTATACCATTTTAATTTTGACGGTAGGCCTGCTGCCGACAAGGGTGTTTAAAAGGAATCTCCTGGGCATTTTAGAGCTCCTCAGCTGGATGGGAAGGACCAAATAAATGCCTCGTGCTTCTCCGCCCCAACTGTGCCTGCACCTGAGCTGCGCACGCGGGGGCACTCAGCCCTCAACTCATTGATTTGACAGGTGGAGGTGGGACGCGGAAGGCCGGAGACCAACCAACCCCAAAGGCGGTAGCGTGCGGAGCGGAACGCGGGAGGGGGTCGGCAAAGGCGGACTGAGGGGTGGGATGCCGAGGTGCGGCTACGGGACGCGGAGGACGAAAGACCTGAAGCAGCGGTGGCCGACAAATGAGGTGCGCACCGGGGGACCCACCCTGCGAGGAGGAGGGGGCGGCGGCGCGGCGGGGCGGGGCGGGGCGGCAGCCGGGAAGCCCTCCTTCCCAGCGGCGGAGGTGACTGGCGGGCGGGGGGCGGGAGACGCTCTGTCCCACGCTTTCCCAGCGCTCGGTGGTTTAAAGATGGCGGCGGCGGCGTTGGGGGCGCGGAGCGGCGGGAGGAGGAGGGAAAAGGAGAATCTGTGAGTCGCCTGGAGGCAGCGCGGCTGCTGCCGTGAAGAGTCCGGGTGTCGAGCCGCCAGCGGCCCAGCCGCTCAGGGCCAGGGCCTGGGCTGGGAGGGCGAGGCCGGAGCAGCGCCAGGAACCCGAGGCCGGAGCCGGGGAGGAATGTGACCAGGGGTCGGCTGGGGCGCGGGAGTACGCGAGCGCAGGGATGGGGCAGCAGGTGGGCCGCGTCGGGGAGGCTCCCGGGCTCCAGCAGCCTCAGCCCCGCGGGTTCCGGGGCAGCAGTGCAGCCAGGCCCTCCAGCCGCAGGCGGGACCCGGCGGGGCGCACCGCAGAGACCGGCTTCAATATCTTCACCCAGCATGGTGAGTGTGTCCGGGAGCCGGCGTGAGGGCGAGCGGGAGGCCGGGGGTCTGGGCAGGGTGGGTGGCGGACGGGCTGCCCTGGGGGTCGGGGGGTGGAGGGTGCCTGAGAGTGGGGGCGGAATCCGCTGCCATCTGGTCCAGTCCTGGGAGGCGAGTCACACCCCTCCCCCCTCGCGTCTTCAGCCTGGCTGGCAGCTCCCGGGGGCGGAGAAGGGAAGAGACGTGGGCTTGGGGACCCTGGATGGTCCTCTACTCTGAGATGGGACTGTGCGGCTGGAGAAGGAGAGTGAATAGCAGCTTCAGGGGAAGGAAGGATGAAGGGCGGTGTGAGCCCAGTCCCAGAGGTGGGAGCATAAACCGGTTGTTAGTGAAGAGGACATGAGTTGTATCCTAAGGGATTGGGAAATGGGAACTGAATTTCAGGAGATTGTGGCGTGTAAGGGTGTATGTTTAAGTCAGGTGATGAGCAGTGTCAGGATAGTGAACTGTGGACAGTGCGCTGAAATGTCTTTCTGTAGGAAAGAGGAAGGTAGCATCTCATCACTTTTGACATGCTTTTGTGGTTTGTTTTGTTTTGTATTTCGTTTTTACTAGAAACGAAAGGTTTTGCCACAGCCTCTGTACTATGCTTCTGAGTGGGACACACAATTCTGAGATTGCTGGCAGGGGCTAGAGGTTGGTGGGCATGGTTAGTACTTCAGTCAGGATATGAACAAGTTTTCCTTTGTACTGTGTGTGCGCGTGCGTGTACCCGCGTGCCCATATACATGCATACATGTATGTATGCTCCATGTAGTCTGAAAACCTATTATTTTGATCTCGTTTTTTTTTTTTTGAGACGTAGTTTCGCTCTTGTTGCCCAGGTTGGAGTGCAATGGCGCGATCTCGGCTCACCGCAACCTCCGCCTCCTGGGTTCAGGCATTTGTCCTGCCTCAGCCTCCTAAGTAGCTGGGATTACAGGCGTGCACCACCACGCCCAGCTAATTTTTTTGCATTTTTAGTAGAGACGGGGTTTCACCATGTTGACCAGGATGGTCTCGATCTCTCGACCTCGTGATCCACCCGCCTCGGCCTCCCAAAGTGCTGGGATTACAGGCTTGAGCCACCGCACCCGGCCTGATCTCGTTTTTGATGTATTTTTAGAATACTTGTCTCCAAACTCTTTTTTTGTTGGGGGAGGTGTGGGGTGGGGCAGAATCTCGCTTTGGTTCCCAGGATGGAGTGCAATGGCGAGATCTCAACCTCTGCCTCCGGAGTTCAGGAGATTCTCCTGCCTAAGCCTCCCTGGTAGCTGGGAATGGAGGCGCGCACCACCACGCCTGGCTGATTTTTGTATTTTCAGTAGAGACCGGGTTTTGCCGTGTTGGCCAGGCTGGTCTCAAACTCCTGACCTCAGGTGATCTGCCTGCCTCAGCCTCCCAAAGTGCTAGGATTAGAGACGTGAGCCACTGCATCTGGCCCCAACTCTTGTTAAACATGCTTATGGGTAAAAATTATATACATAAATTAGACGTTTTAATAATTTATATTTATTATAAACATGTACTACTGTACTAATGTGTTAAACAGTTTGTAAACATACACAGAATTTAAGAAACAAGATGAAAAGATGAATATAATTAGCGTTCTAACTTTTTTCCTGCAGCCCAGTGGATCCTTTTGCACTTTTTCAGAGGTCTGCTCATGCTACTTTTGAGGCCACTTTTCTAGATGAAGGAAGAATAGAGAAGGGGAAAAAAGCAAAATCAGTCTCAAAGGTGTTAAGATACCCTAAGTCCAGACAGGGGCGGAAGATACGGATGTGAATTCTGTAGAAAGGACTGGATAGTTGAAGGTGGGTGAGAGGTAGCAAACTGGAGTTTCACTGAAGATGCATATAGAAAACAAAGGATGAGACCGGGCGCGGTGGCTCAAGCCTGTAATCCCAGCGCTTTGGGAGGCCAAGACGGGTGGATCACGAGGTCAAGAGATTGAGACCATCCTCGTCAACATGGTAAAACCCCGTCTCTACTAAAAATACAAAAAATTAGCTGGGCATGGTGGGGCGTGCCTGTAATCCCAGCTACTCAGGAGGCTAAGGCAGGAGAATTGCCTGAACCCAGGAGGCGGAGGTTGTGGTGAGCCGAGATCGTGCCATTGCACTCCAGCCTGGGTAAGAAGAGTGAAACTCCGTCTAAAAAAAAAAAAAAAAAAAAAAGTAAACAAAGGATGAAAGAGGGTGTTCTGTACCACACAATTTAGGAAAGTGGAGGAAGAAAAAGACCTGAACTATTCATTAGAGATGGAGTTTTGGAAGAAGTAGTGATAGATGGTATCTTGCAAAGAAAGAGAGGAACCCAAAGATGTCTGACTATTTGGGTGCGTTGTGTCAGTTCTGGGTTGGACTTTGTGAATAAGCTGAGTTGTTTCTTTTTTTTTTTTTTTTTTTTTGAGACGGAGTTTCGCTCTCGTTACCCAGGCTGGAGTGCAATGGCGCGCTCTCGGCTCACCGCAACCTCCGCCTCCTGGGTTCAGGCAATTCTCCTGCCTCAGCCTCCTAAGTAGCTGGGATTACAGGCACGCGCCACCACGCCCAGCTAGTTTTTTGTATTTCTTTTTTTAGTAGAGACTGGGTTTCACCATGTTGACCAGGATGGTCTCGATCTCTTGACCTCGTGATCCACCCGCCTCGGCCTCCCAAAGTGCTGGGATTACAGGCTTGAGCCACCGCGCCCGGCCTTAAGCTGAGTTGTTTCTTAATGGAGGAGATACAGGTGATTCTGGACCATTACATTTTACATGTCTCCTTTTTTTTTTGTTTTGTTTTTAAGGTGGGGTTTCACCATGATGGCCAGGCTGATCTTGAACTCCTGACCTCAGGTAATCCACCCACCTCGGCCTCCCAAAGTGTTAGGATTACAGGCGTGAGCCACAGCACCTGGCCTATTTTTTTGTTTTTTTTGAAATGGAGTTTCACACTGTTGCCCGGCTGGAGCACAGTGACACAATCTTGGTTCACTGTAACCTCTGCCTCCCAGATTCAAGCGATTCTCTTGTCTCAGCCTCTGAGTAGCTGGGATTACGGGTGTCCACCACCACACTGGCTAATTTTTTGTATTTTTAGTATAGATGGGGCTTCACTTTGTTGGCCAGGCTGGTCTCCAATGCCTGACCTCGTGATCCACTCTTGTCGGCCTCCCAGTGTGCTGGAATTACAGGCATGAGCAACCACACCTGGCCATATGTCTACTTTTTTTTTTTTTTTGAGACGGAGTTTTGCTCTTGTTACCCAGGCTGGAGTGCAATGGTGCGATCTCAGCTCATCGCAACCTCCGCCTCCTGGGTTCGAGTAATTCTCCTGCTTTAGCCTCCCGAGTAGCTGGGACTACAGGCACGCGCCACCATGCCCAGCTAATTTTTGTATTTTTAGTAGAGACGGGGTTTCACCTTGTTGACCAGGATGGTCTCGATCTCTTGACCTTGTGATCCACCCACCTCGGCCTACCAAAGTGCTGGGATTATAGACGTGAGCCACTGTACCCGGCCCTGTCTTCTTTTAAATATGTGCTTGAGTGTCTCTTTCAGGTATATATGAATGCTATATGAAGGTGATAGCTGAGTTAATCTTTATTAAAATCACTTCATAGAGCAAAAGAGGGAAGAATGGATTAATGGTTTATAGGGAAGAAATCAAGTAAGCTTCGCTTTGTGGGAAGTGTTACTATGCATTAAACTTGGCCTAGCAGACGGGTGAACCTCTTCCTCTACTATCCTATTCAGTATATAAGGTTTTCCAAGAAAGAAGAAGTCATGAAGAATGGAATAGGAAGACATTTTGAGGATCTGGATCTATGGAAAGGGAAAAAGAGAACAGGCTGGGCAGGAGAAACAACTTGAGCAGGTACAATGGGAATAGACATAATTTGTTGATAGGATCGTGAGTAGACGTCTGTCAGAAATGAAGTGTCATTATGAGTTGGAAAAAAAAAGATCCTATAGCAAAAATGGGAAGAGTCCAGTTCTGTTTCTGGCTCTACCTGGCTGGGTGATTTTAGTCACCATTTTTGGATTTCTTTATCTGTAAAGTGAGGAGGTTGACCTAGATGATCTCTAAGATACTTTTTGGGTTTACGGACGCAGTAGAAAGAAAATTTTGATAGGCTGCATGGGACTGGGTTATGGAAAAATCTGGCAGAGAAGTTTATATCCTTTTACTTGATTGGCTATTTTAAATCGAAGTTCTCGTTTTATATGCTTGAAATTACTCCTCCTATTGGCACTGTTTTTTCAGTAGTAACTGGCCTTGAGTGGTGGCAGTGCCAATAGGAGGAGTAATTTCAAGGGGCCTTTCATTCATTCAACAAACAAGGGTTTTTTTTGAGCACCTATTATGTACTAGGTTGTGGGATGTTGCTGTAAACATAACAGAGTCCCTGCCCTTTGGGACTTACAGGGCTTTATGATTTGATAGACGATGAAAGGAGAGATCACTTTGGAGTATTTGTTAAGGGAATGAACTCTGACTCATTTTTCCTGGATTTGAAACCTTGCTCTGCTGCTTATGAACTTTGTGACCTGGGGCAAGTTATTTAACTTTTCTGTGCCTTGGACTGTTCATTTGTAAAGTGGTGATAATAATAATAATACCTAGTATTGCCGGGCTTGGTGGCTCATGCCTGTAATCCCAGCACTTTGGGAGGCTGAGGCAGGTGGATCACCTGAGGTCAGTAGTTTGAGACCAGCCTAACCAATGTGGAAAAACCCCATCTCTACCAAAAATACAAAGTTAGCTGGGCGTGGTGGCACATTCCTGTAATCCCAGTTCCTGGGTAGGCTGAGGAAGGAGAATCGCTTGAACTCAGGAGGCAGAGGTTGCAGTGAGCTGAGATTACGCCATTGCACTCTAGACTGGGCAACAAGAGCAAAACTCTGTCTCAGTAATAATAATAATACCTAGTATTAAATAAAAGTGCCTGGCACATAGTGTAACCTAAATGTGTGTCAGCTGCTGCCATTACTA